CTTTTGCTCTTTTTTTGTTTATAGTGCAAAATATATAAAACACAAGTGGTGATTACATGCCACCAAACGAAAGCTGTATTTGTGTGAAAAAAATATAAAAATTTGAAATGGGTACTGGTGTTGCATGACCACGCAATTGTCATTCAAAGTGCAACAGCACTGAAAGCTGAAAATTGGCCTGGGCAGGAAGGGGTGAAAGTGCCCAGTAGGCAAGTGGTTAAGTACTTTATATTTGTGTAGCACTTGCAGTTTAAGCAATATATGGTTTACAATTTTTTCACTTTATTGATGTATGAATTGAATTAATGTTTTTTAATTTTGGCGATTTAGCGCTACTTTTATTGAGTTGTTACTAATCCAGAAGACCTGACATCTCCGGTATCTAAATTATTGGTTTTCGCACCTGCTTTGACCTCTCCAGCATTTACACAATTAAAAAATGCACTTGATAACACTCTAGAACTGGGGCCCTTCATTAGCAGTTTGTGGCCTTGTCTTTTGGTCTGTCATCTGCACCCCAGTTCATCACAGTGCTGAACCTACTGCATTCTTATTGCATCTCCATTGTGGTACACTTGACAACCTTCTCTTGGAATAATCAGAGCATGTGTTCTGCAACATGACTTTGTCAAGACATTACAGCAGTTTGGATGGATCCTGGCTGCATTGTTTGAAGTGTCTGGGTTTAGACACAGCTCTCTCCAAAGATATTTTGGATACTCCTGGTTTTAGATTCAAAAACTCTCCAGGCCAGGAGCTGTCTCACTCTTCGCTATTGTATGAGAGTGCTAGGCCTGCCAAGTTAGACTTCAGACCTCTGCAACTCAACATTCTGTCATCGAAGGACAAGTCTATTCAGTCTCTGGACAGATCAATTCATCTGTCACCGAGAAAACAGTTGGTCCCTGGCCTGGTGGCCTTAATATCCACCTCTGGAGTCCTGGCTTTTGGATAATCCTTACAATGAGTGTCAGCCTGGGTAGGAGTCCTGGGCACTTTGTCCGGACAGGAAACGTTGCTGTCTGCAGCATTTAACCATCTTACTGGAGGGTCATCTGACCAGATTCAATCAGACCATGCCAAGGCCGTGGCTTACATTAATAATCCGGTAGGAACAAGAAGTCCTTGCCGAAGCAAAAGGGGTATTCATATTCCAGCTTTGTCCATTCCAGGCATGGAGGACTGGTGGGCAGACTTCCTCGGCTAGCAGCATCTGGAGCCGGGGAAGTGGTCCCTTCACCCGAAGTTGTTCAGAACCTGTGTAGCTGATAGGATGTCACCAGATGTGGACCTCTTGGCCCCCAGGGTCTACAACAAATTGGACAGGTTTGTCTCCACTACAGGGAACCTATAGTGGAAGCAGTGGATACTTTGGTGGTTTTGTGCATGGTTTGCACTGGAAGTGGGTTGTTTTATGTGTATAGGTTAGATGTGTTTCAGAAGATACAGTTGCAAGAAAAAGTATGTGAACCCCTTGGGATTACGAGTTTTGCATGAATTGGGCATAAAATGTGCTCTGAACGTCATCTAAGTCCCAGCAATAGAAGAACACAGTCTGCTGAACATAATACTACACAAACAGATGTTGCCATGGTTTAATTGCACATAACATGTAAACATTCACAGTGCAGGGAGGAAAAAGTATGTGAGGCCCTAGCTTAATGACTTCTCCCAGGGCTAATTAGAGCCAGGAGTGAGCCAACCTTGACTCCAATCAGTGTGATGATATTGGATGTGTTGCTGACACAGCTGTCCCGACCTTAAAAAACACACACCTGTTTTTGGTTCACTGGTTTCAAGAAGCACTGTCTGATGTGAACCATGCCTCGCAGAAAAGAGCTCTCAGAAGACCTATGATCAAGAATTGTTGACTTGGATGAAGCTGGAAAGGGTTACAAAAGTATCTCCAAAAGCCTTGATGTTCATGTGTCCACGGTAAGACAGACTGTCTACAAATGGAGAAAGTTTAGCACTGTTGCTACTCTCCCTAGGCATGGTCGTCCTGTAAAAATGACTGCAAGAGCACAGCGCAGAATGCTGCATGAGGTAAAGAAGAATTCCAGAGTGTCAGCTAAAGACCTACAGAAATCTCTGACACATGCTAACATTTTTTGTTGACACATCTACAATAAGGAAAACATTAAACAAGAATGGAGTACATGGGAGGACACCACGGAGGAAGCCATTGCTGTCCAAAAAGAATATTGCAGCACGTTTGAAGTTTGCAAAAGAGCACCTGGATGTTCCACAGCACTACTGGCAAAATATACTGTGGACAGATGAAACCAAGCTTGAGTTGTTTGGGAAGAACACACACAACACTATGTGTGGAGAAAAAAAGGCACAGCACACCAACATCAAAACCTCATCTCCACTGTAAAATATGGCGGAGGGAGCATCATGGTTTGGGGCTGCTTTGCTGCCTCAGGGCCTGGACGGATTGTTGTCATTGATGGGAAAATGAATTCAAGAGTTTATGCAGGAAAACGTACGACCATCTGTCCGCCAACTGAAGCTCCGCAGAGGATGGGTGATGCAACAGGACAATGACCCAAAGCATATAAGTAATTCAACAAAACAATGGCTGCAATAGCACAGAATACGCCTTCTGGAGTGCCCAGTCAGAGTCCTGACCTCAACCCGATTGAAATGCTGTGGCATGACCTTAAGAGAGCGATTCACGCCAGACATCCCAAGAATATTGCTACACAGTTTTGTGAAGAGGAGTGGTCCAAAATTACTCCAGATCGTTGTGCAGGTCTGATCTGCAACTACAGGAAACGATTGGTTGAGGTTATTGCTGCCAAAGGAGAGTCAAAACCAGTTAATAAGTCCAAAGGTTCACATACTTTTTCCTCCCTGCACTGTGAATGTTTACGTTATGTGCAATTAAACCATGGCGACATCTAATGTTTGTGTAGTATTATGTTCAGCAGACTGTGTTCTTCTATTGTTGTGACTTAGATGACATTCAGAGCACATTTTATGCCCAATTCATGCAAAACTCCACGTAATCCCAAGGGGTTCACATACTTTTTCTTGCAACTGTATGTAATACTGCCAAAAGTATTGGGACACTTGCCTTTACATGCACATGAACTTTAATGGCATCCTAGTCTTAGTCTGTAGGGGTCAATACTGAGTTGGTCCACCCTTTGCAGCTATAAAACAGCTTCAGCTGTTCTGGGAAGGCTGTTCACAAGGGTTAGGAGTGTGTCTATGAGAATATTTAACCATTCTTCCAGAGATGCTTTTTGTGAGGTCAGGCACTGCTGTCGGGCAAGAAGGCCTGGCTCGCACTCCCCAATCTAATTCATCCCAAAGGTGTTCTATTGGGTTGAGGTCAGGATTCTGTGCAAGCCAGTCAAGTTCCTCCACCCCAAACTCGCCCATCCATGTCTTTATGGACCTTGCTTTGCGCAAAGGTGCACAGTCATCTTGGAACAGGAAGGGGCCATCCCCAAACTGTTCCCACAAAGTTGGGAGTATAAAATTGTCCAAAATGTATTGGTATGCTGATGCCTTAATAGTTCATTTCACTGGAACTAAGGGACCAAGTCCAACCCCTGAAAAACAACCCCACACCATAATCCCCTCTCCACCAAACTTTACACTTGGCACAATGCAGTCATTGTTGACAAGTACTGTTCTGGCAACAGAAAAGTGATTTGTCATTCCAGAGAGCACGTCTTCACTGCTCTAGAGTTCAGGGGCAGCATGCTTTACACCACTGCATTCTATGCTTTGCATTGCACTTTGTGATGTAAGGCTTGGATGCAACTGCTTGGCCATGGAAGTCCATTCGATTTGAAGCTCTCTGTGCAGTGTTGTGCTAATCTGAAGGCCACATGCAGTTTGGAGGTCTTTAGCTATTGACTCTGCAGACAGTTGGCGACTTCTGCGCACTGTGCGCTTCAGTGTGTGCTGACCCCAGCTCTATCATTTTACGTGGCCTACCACTTCATAGCTGAGTTGCTGTTGTTCCCAGTTTCTTCCGTTTTGTTATAATACCACTAACAGGTGAACTTGGAATATTTAGTAGCGAGGACATTTCACGGATTGCACAGGTGGCAACCTATAACGATACAATTCTTGAATTCACTGAGCTCCTGAGGGCGACCCATTCTTTCACAAAAGTTTGTAGGAGCAGTCTGCATGCCTAGGTGCTTGATTTTATACGCCTGTGGCCATGGAGGTGATTGGAACACCTACATACAATGATTTGGAGGGATGTAGCAATACATTTGGCAATATAGTGTAGGTTTAAGACTACGAAGAAAACCAGTGACAGGACAAGTAAAGGTTGTCATGGCAATAGCTGGAGAAACTGGCCTCACCCACCTGATAGGAAGTTCAAGCAGTGAAGAATTTGGAAGAGTTTAAAACGCCCTCACACAAATTATACCCCTCAATCTTTTGTTTATTCTGGTTCCAAGAAAAAACATTCATGTTGTGTGGAGAAGGAAAGCCCTTCTTACTCACTGGCACTATACAGTTTTGTTCCCCTTGTATTTCCTTTGAATATTCTGTCTGTGATCCATTGTCTCAACAAGGTCACAACAAGCATCATTTTACTTTTGGACTTGTTTGAGAGGTTCAGGCTGGAAACCAACTTTTTGTGAGATTGATGTTTTTCTGGGACAGGTTATTGTATCTTTCATGAAAGCACATTGCCATTTATTAATATTTCCACCTTTTTGGTCCATTAAAGCAAGGCCTCCTCTGTGCATGGTTTGCTCTTTTGGTCTGACCATTGCATGTCATATCTGTTGCCCAAGCTACCCTATCTGATGGGTGAAGCCATTGCTGCATTTTCTGCTGTCCTGGGATGTTCCTGGGTAAGACTCATTCCCATTTTCTTTATTTGGTTGCTTCTCTCCAGTTCAGATAAAATGTAAGTTGGTCAAGTAATGTTTATAACACTGGTCCTTATTTTCCAAAGCTATAGTTCAATTTCTCTCTTAGAAGTGATCTATAAACATATTTGTATTTCCTTTCAGAAACAAAAACCAAGGAGGAAAAGAAAAACCAAGAAGGAAAGCAAAAAGCTGAAAGTATTGCAGCAGCAGTTGTAGAGTCAGCAGATTCTGGAATCAGCCTGTCTAAACCTAAGAAGAAGGTATGGTTGTCTGTCTGAAATATATCCTTATGGGAGGCATTTCAAAAAATCACATTATCTGCAGTGGAAAACACCACCTGTACTACTTTATCAGCTACATGTATATTAAGCACCCTTTGCTATACAGACTTCCCAATATTGCTTCCAATATAGACCTTTTGGTGGCCTTAGATTTCCTTAGATAAACTGGTGAAGTTTACACATGCAGTATATGACGGATTCTATTTAAAATGAGCAGACTTTTAAAGCACATGTAGCTTCTCTTCTCCCTGTGTGCAGTCCTGTGTTAAACATCACATACACCGGGGGGGAGGGTTAATTTTTTTTTTTTTTTGCCTTTTAATGCTCCATGTACACTAGGAGCTGGAAAAATGCAGACTAAAAAACGAAAGAAACAAAAGAATTGCCAGCAATTATAATTACAGAGAATATGAGTGTGCCCCCCCCCCCCCCCAACCCCAAATCATATCAGGCCCTTGGGGTCTAATATGGATATGCTACAATTTTAAAAATAGACGTGCCCCCCCCCCCCCAAATCCATACCAGGCCACATGCCCTCAACATGTGCATGGACACATAGGATAACACTATTTGTTTCTAGAGGCAGAGAAAAACAGCTCATAACTAGCTGCCAGAAGCTTAAAAACAAGCTAGAGTTCATGGAGCCTGGAATGTTACACAGATTCCGTTATTAAATGGATTCTTCAGCTTTTGAAAATCTCATTTTGCTAGGACATGGTTTATAATTTCTTTTGTCTTTGTCTTTGGGACCATTCACACTGGTCCTTCTTGGTGGGTTGCATAAAGGCTGACCATTTATTTGAACAGGCTGACAACATAGCAGAAGAGACCAAAAATTGGGCATGAGTTCTTTGCAATACAGCACATCTCAGGGCATTTGAGGTGGTTGCCATTGAAAACAATGTGCTAAAGCACTTTATTGCACATAATGCAATAAAACACACGTTCCTACAACACATTGCAATGGAGAGGGGTGAATGGGTATTCATGTACATAAATGTATGTTCTAGCATTTTGAATTTTTTGAAAAGTTACCCCTTTTTCAGAACGTCCTTGTTTTGGAAAATGTAGAAAGAAAGTGAAAATATAGAAAGAACTGTTCTTTGAACTACCCAAATAAATTTTTTATTTTTTTTAATTTTTTTTATAGAGGAAAACATAAGCCGAAGACGTCTGTATGAAGATGCCTAATAACCAAGGTACCAACAGTGTATTACCTAAGACTTTAAGTAAAGTCCTCACTGCTGATGTTGTTTATTATAATTAGGGTTTTGATACATTGGTACAGATCCTTTCTACTAAGGAAAAATGTTTTTAGATACTTAATGTAACTTTCCCCTTTTGGTTCATCCTTATATCAGCATACAGCTCTGCCTCTGGACTTCACAGGACAGCCCCTTACCTAGCCCATAAAAGCTTTCCTATTGCCGCGTACTAGTCTTCTTGTAAAAAAATCTTGAATTTGTTGACTTAGGTTATTGATGCAAGCTTTTAGGATTCCTTAAATCTTATCTCCACGCTTTATTCAATTTAAACAGTCATATAAAGCCTGAAGAAGGGATCCAAGTTGCCCCAAAAGCTTGCATCTTTGATAACTTTAGTTTTTTTTTAGTTTTCGTACAACATAGGGCAGCAGGTTATAGACTATGGGTTATATTTCCCTACCTTCAGATGATTGAATACTGGCAAAAGCTTTGCTGGGAACGCCCCCTTTTTCGCTGTTCTATAATCCCACCCACTCTGTGGGACTCCAGTTTTTTGCTAGTGACCATAGAAACATATTTTTCCTATGGAGTTTTATAAACAAATCTTTATTTGTCACTACGACCTTAAATTACATTTTGATCCTGAAACTGCTGGCAAGCCCTGAGACGATAAGCAGTTGGATCTTGATAGATTACCATTGAAGTACATCTTGGGCATGGTACCCAGATCCAGCAACAGCAGGTTTTGGCACTGGATTCTGCGTTCAGCACTTACTTTGGCACATGGTGTGAGTGTAGTTAGCCACAGGGCCATGGTCCATTCCTAGAACACCCAAACCCTATAAAACCCTTTTAACCACTTGTCCTCCTGAGGATTTACCCCCCTTAATGACCAGGCCTCTTTTTGCTACTCTGCGCTGCACTAATTCAACTGATAATTGCGCGGTCATGCAACGCTGCACCCAAACAAAACTTATGTCCTTTTTTTTCACACAAATAGAGCTTTCTTTCGGTGTTATTTGATCACCTGTGCGCTTTTTATTTTTTCACGCAATAAACAAAAAAAAGACCAAACATTTTGAAGAACAATGATATTTTTTACTTTCAGCTATAAAAAATATATAGTAAACTCAAAACTAGTTATAAATTTAGGCCAAAATGTATTCTGCTACATGTTTTTGGTAAAAAAAATCCCAATAAGTGTATATATGATTGCTTTGTGTGAACGTTATAGCGTCTACAAACTATGGTATAGATACTGCAATTTATGCAGTTGTTTTGCTATACGCGCTGCGCTAGTTTAACGGACAGTTGCGCGGTCATGCAATACGGTACATAAATGAAATTTATGTCCTTTTTTTTCACACAAATAGAGCTTTCTTTCGGTGGTATTTGATCACCTGTGCGTTTTTTTATTTTTTGCGCTATAAAAACAAGGCTGACAATTTTGAGGAAAAAAAAAAAAACAATATTTTGTACTTTTTGCTATTAAACATGTCCAGTAAAAAAAAAATAAATCAAATTTCGTCATAAATTCAGCCAAAATGCATTCTGCGACATGTCTTTGCTAAAAAAAAAAACCCAATACGTGTAAATTAATTGGATAACGTGAAAGTTATAGCGTTTACAAATGACGGTAAAGATACTGGGATTTTACATTTTTTTTTTATACTAATGCGGCGATCAGTGACTTATGGCGGCGATCAGCGACTTATGGCGGGACTGCGGCGGACATTCTGACACTGGGGGGGAACTGACTTGGGGTCACTGACATTCCCAGTGACACCAATACAGTGATCAGTGCCAAAAAAAAAAAAAAAAAAACCCTGACACTGTACTAATGGCACTGGGGAGGAAGGGATTAATTTTTTTTTGCACTGAAAGGGTTAACTGTGTGAGGGGAGTGTTTTACTAGGGGGCGGGGGGGTGTACTGCAGGGAGACAGCAGATCGGGACAGAGAAACTCATTTCTCCTGGTCTGTGTGTCAGGAACTGTCAGGGAAGTGACAGAAAGCAGAGCTACTGCAGCCCTGCTCTCTGTCACTGATTGCTGCAAATCGCCGGGACACAGCTGATAACCGGCTGTGACCCGGCGACTGACACCCACGCTGAAATCGGTGGTGAAGGTAATGCGGCTGCGCGCGCCCCTACCTGTTTTGAAACAGCACATTTTAAAACGTGCTTTTGCCCAGCCGTGCCGCCCTGCCACCGTTTTTTATACAGTGGCTGGGCGGCAGCGTGAATAAGGTAAACAATAACAGTAGGTGCACCTAGTGCAGTATCCCAAGGGAATTTATTTTGAACTAATAAAATTTTAAATGTACTCACAAACCAAAGTTTGAAAACAGCCTAAAGGGATGGTGTATCTACAGTTGCAATGAGGGGTAGGACCCGGGAAGGATGAACACACCAGGTGAACGCCGTCCAGGGATCCGCACTGGCTTATGCATTTTGAGGGCAATCCCTCTTCCTCAGAGCCAAACAAATGGGATCTACTTGGCCGGTCTTATATCTTAAACTGACCAACTGGTATTGGTGACCAATTCATTCCCACCTTGCACAAGATGAGAAATTCTACCTCTAGTAGGATCTACCATCGCACCTGGAAGGCCTACTTTGTCTGGTGCGAGAGCAGACACCTCAACCCCTGGGAATATTACATTCTCTTTTTTTTTTTTTTTTAATTATTCATTTTCCATATAAAATACATATTCCATCATTACTCACATATACCATACAAAATTATTCCTTTTACCCCTTTCTATCGTTATTCCCTTACCCCCCCAATCCGATTCCCCCACCCACCCAGCAACCTACCCCCACCCCCCTCCTAAATAGAAACACCCCCCCCCCCCCCCTCCCACTCTGCATTTCTCCATAGCATCTTTTCCTTAGTAAGAGGTACTTCCACCTATCCCACTCTACTGCTTCAAATTTTTCACCTTGGACACAAAATCTTCCCATTTTCTCCACCTCCCATAATATAACCCCATCTTGTCTTCTTGCATATAATACAATTTCTCCATCCTGCATATCTGATTCACTCTTTCCCACCCAATCCACTTCTCTCGGCACCTCTGAGTTATGCCAAAAACTTAGGTATCAACCCCTTTGCCGCATTTAGATAGTACCATATACCCGAGTCCTTATATTTGTTCACTGATAGCTCTATATTATGTAATAGACTCTGGATCCAATTCCTATCTTTATCCCGGAGATTTTCCCATTATGTAAACCACCGTCTCCCAAAAATCTTGAATCTTAGGCGTGATATATCACATATTGTGGGAGTGCCCAATCTTTCCACACCCCCGCCAACACTCTGATGTATTCTCTCCACACATCTTATATTCAACATTCGGTGCAATGTGCCATCTTGTTAAGCACTTATAATTAACCTCCACCACTCTCATGCTTACATTTTGTTTGTATATTTTTCTCTGTTTGTCTTCATCGATCTCTATCCCCAACTCCCTTTCCAATTTTACTATATACATTGGTTTTGTGTGTATATCTAACTCAGTGACAATCTTATAAACTTTTGCCGTGCCCCGCATCCCATCCCCACGTGACTCCAACAACCTCTCAAACAAGTTCCAATCTTTTCTCGATCTCAAAGGTTTCGGAAGACTCCTAACAAAGTGTTTTAATTGGTGGTATCTCCACTCGTCTATCTTAATACAAAGTTCCCTTTTATCCTTTTTCAAATCCTTAAGTGTTCTCAATTCCTGCCCTTCCATGATATCCCTCAATTGGATATCCTCCTTTTTAAAC